GGGAGGCTCGTCTGCCTTGGCACCACCAACGCTCTTCGGGTTAGGTTTATTTGAGAATTGTTAAAAAAACTGCAAAAACGTTCTCTACTTTCTTGTTAAAAGGAACAAATAGCGAAGGATTTGCTTTCAGGGGAAGAAGAGGAAGAAACACAGTCCTCAGCCGATGACCTCACCCCATCTGTGACCTCCCATGAGGCCTCTGACCTCTTCCCTAATCAGAGCGGACGTAGGTGTCCCACCCGCTCCTACCCCTGGGCTGGTGGGCCAAGGAGGGGCCCTGGGCCGCTGGGGACACAGACATCGGGACCCCCGGGGGTGCCCTGCTCTTGTTCGAGCCCCTGTAGGGACCCCTCTCCCCTGCCCTGCCCTGCCCTGCCAGTGAGCTGAGGCTGGTGACCTTGGTTTATGTGAGGAGGGAACGTATTGGTTCCTGTGGCTGAAAGTCCCTTAGATCCAGGGCAGCGTCCTCGGGCCATGTGCTCCTCACTCCCTGTGCGTCTCTGTGGCCTGAGCAGTGGCGGCGTGAGGTGCTGGGGGTCTGGGCCCCTGGTTTACGACTGCAGCAGAGGGCGGCCTCCTGAGTCCCCGCTTCTGTGCCCATCACCCGGCCAGGGCCTGGACCCAGCTGCTTCTCAGGAGGGGCACACGTGGGGGTCAGGTGGATGGAGAGTGGGGTGGAGGCCCCAGGGTCTGCTGGCTGGGGGGCCGCGCGGGGCCGAGGAGGTGCCTCACCTGCTCCTGTTTCCCCAAAGCCCGCTTCCTGCCTGATGCAGACAAGGAGCCTGGCTCCTCCAGCTCGTCGGACACCGAGGAGGACCCGCTTCCCGCCAACAAGTGTAAGAAGGTGCGCGGCCCTGACCCTGCGGCGCCCTCAGCGCAGGCCTCTGCTGGGCTGGGGCTCGACTGCGAGTGAGTGCCGTAGCCCCGAGGCCCCCCCGCCCCCACCCCAGGACTGGCTGCACTGGACAATCACACGCACAGCTGGCCTCTGCCTCCCACCTCACACCTCGGGCCAGGTGGCCTGGCTCTGGGTGGCAGCCTGCAGCCCCCATCAGCACCGCGCGCCTGGGCCTCCGTCTGCCCTGACTGTCCTGGGCCTTTGCCTTTGCAGGAGATCATGGTTGGGCCTCAGTTCCAAGCTGACCTCAGCAAGCTGCACTCGAACCGTCAGGGTGAGAAAAGTAAGTGGGCCTGGGAGGTGGGGGGACAGGGAGCAAGGAGAAATGCCAACCCCACTCCTCTAGGAGAGACTCCCGGGTCCAGTCAGAGCCAGTTCCCAGGTCCTCGGAGCGAGCCTGAGGTCCTGGCCCAGGTCCGGTGGCCACCTCCCCGGGGCAGCTGAGCCTGCAGGACACTCTGGGAGTGGCCGTCCCTCCCCGCTGGCTGGTCCTGGGCCCTGTGGGCCACCTACCCCCAGGGCTGCTGCGCTTGTTCCCCTGGGTGTGTGGGCTCTTCCCACGTCACCCACGCGTCAGTCCCTCACCTCGTCCAGGGCTCGTCCCACATGCCCTCCAGAGACGTGTGTCTTTCTGCGTTCTGCCTGGCCCTGTTCTTGAGGGCGCTCACCGTCCTGGACTTGTTGTCTGTCTGTCTCTCGATCCCGCCGGCGTGAATGAATGTGTGTTGCGTATGCTACGGTGTTGGGTTCCCTCGTGTGCACGCGCCACGCCACGTTGGCTCATCCTCCTGCTGGTCAGTGTTCACAGTGGTTTGCCCTGTGGTTGTCTTCGTGGACACACGCACTTGTTCCTGGGGCGTCATCAGTAGGCACCGAGTGGGGCCCCCGCCAGCAGCGTGGGAGTTCCAGTTGCTCTATGTCCTCATCAGCGGTTGGTGTGGTCTGCCTTGTTGACGGGTGTGGAGTTGTGCCCCCTTGTGGCTGGCGTTAATTTGCAATTACTGGCCACTTGGTATCTCTTGGGAGGTGCCTGCTGAGGCCTTTCCCCTTTTAAATTGGGTTGCCTTTCTCTTGTGACTTTCTGTGTGGATGCACATCCTTGGTTGGCTGTGGGCACGGCAGATGTTTTCTCCCAGTCTGTGGTGTCTGATTTCAGTGAAATCCAGCTTATCTTTATTTTAGCCACAATGTGTTTGTATGCTGTCTAGGGAGTCTGCAGGTCTAGAAGATAAGTTCTTTTATTTCCCTTTTTATGTTGGCATCTATGATCTAATTTAATTTTAATGTATGGTTGGAGGTATGGGTCAGGGTTGACCCCCCAACCCCCACCCCCAGCCCTGCATATGGAAAAGTCCATTCTTTCCCCCACTGAATTGCAGTGGTGCCTTTATCAGGAATCGTGTCCGTAATGTATATCAGCCTTTTGGGGCTTCTCTTCTGTTGTTCTCTTGTCTAACCCTGGGTCCTTACCACTCTCTTAATTATTGCAGCTTTGAAGTTAGTCTGAGATGGTGCAAACCCTCCAACTTTGTAACTTTTATTTCTATGTCCACATAAGCTTTCAAATTAGCTTGTCATTTGTCTCAAAAATGCCTGCTAGGATTTTGATTATGGTTGCATTGGCTCTTTATTAATTTGGGGGAGATTGATACATTAATGATATTGACACTTCCAGTTCACAAACATAGCTGACTTCTCTGCTTAGGTCTTCTTTATTTTTGGCAGTTTTAGAGTTTTCAGTATAGCAGTCTTGTGAAATGCAGAAATGCAGTTTATTATTTTAAGTAAACTTGTACACAGTGACTTGGCTAAATTCACTTACTAGTTTTATTACCTTGTAGATTCTTTTGCACTTTTAGACATATACAATCATATCATTTGTGTATGATAACTTTACTTCTTTCTTTGTGATCTTTTTATGTTTTATTTCTTTTTCTTGCATTACTGCACTGACTCGTGTGTGTGTGTGTGTGTGTGTGTGTGTGTGTGTGTATCTAATATATTTATTTATTTTTGGCTGTGTTGGGTCTTCATTGCTGTGTGCGGGCTCTCTCTAGTCATGGTGAGCGGGGACTACTCTTCGTTGCGGTGCGCGGGCTTCTCATTGTGGTGGCTTCTCTTGTTGTGCAGCATGGGCTCTAGGTGCGTGGGCTTCAGTAGTTGTGGCATGTGAGCTCAGTAGTTGTGGCTCATGGGCTCTAGAGCGCAGGCTCAGTAGTTGTGGCGCACGGGCTTAGTTGCTCCGTGGCATGTGGGATCTTCCCGGACCAGGGCTCGAACCAGTGTCCCCTGCGTTGGCAGGTGCTTAACCACTGCACCACGGCTTGGCCATTATCTCTTCAAAATTGGCCCTGTGCTTTGTCCTCTTCCTCCGTGACTCAGTTATACATGTCTTAGGTTGCTTGACCACCTTACACGTGCCCCACACTATGTTCTCTTTAAGCTTCAGTTTGATTGTTTTGAATGAAATTCTTTCCAATTTCACTAATCACGTCTTCTGCTGTTGAAGCTGCCCGGTGGGTTCATAATTCACGCACTGCATTTTCCAGCCCTAGAATGTCCATGTGATTCTTTTGAATTGATTTCAGTTCTCTGCTGAAATTCTCCAGCTTTCCATTGATTTTGTCCTTTTCCCTAGATCGTTAATCATAGTTATACTGAAGTCCTCTCTGCTAACTCTGATGTCCAGCTGTTTGTGGAGTTACGTGTTGTCATGTGGTTTTCCTCTCACCTTCGTGCCATAGGTAGACACACGGCGATGGTGGCAGGTGTCGCTTTTTCTCTAGAGAGGGGCTGGGACTCGGGGTTGACTTTGCAGATGGAGAGAGGTGGTCGCAGGTCTACAGGGGCGCCAGCCCCAGAGTCGCTGGTTCCCTCACAAGAGCGAGTCCGGCGTGGAGCCGGTTCCGCTTTTCAGCCACTGCACTGGGTGTTTGGCTTGTGTGTGTTGTTTAGTTTTTGGCCCCTGTGGTTCTTCCCTGAGTAATCAAGAGATGCTGACACTGGGGTCTCCCCAGGCTTGGCCCTGAACTCTCCCTTCTGCCTCTTGCTGCAACGTCCTTCCCCTGCTGGAGGCTGTCCCCACCCCGCCCCGCCCCCGGCCCCAAGCAGACTGCAGCCAGAGTCCCTTTCTTATCCTTCCTTAATGCGCCTGCCCCCTCCCCCGCCAGGGCAGGGCCTCTGCTGCCCTCTGCTGCCCTCTGCTCCTCTCCCCACGAGGTCTGCTCTCACAGGACGGAGGCAGCCGTGGGAGCTCTTGCCTGAGCGAGGCCGCTGACACCCAGGTCTCCCCACTGTGCTTGATCGAGTCTGGGCTCTTCTCGCTGCTCCCTTGGGCCTCTGCCTTTCGTCTCCCTGAGCTCGTCCTGCAGCCCCTCCTCGTGGGCCACGCTCAGAAGTCCCCCTTCCAGCCTGGGCTAGTTGCTGCCCCCTCTGGGACGCTGGCCTTGATAAGTGGCTGCTCAGGGCCCACTGACCTCCCACGCCTTCCTGCCTTCCCGCCACCTCGAGCACCCAGGTGCCCGGAGCCGGCCCTGTGAGACGCGGAGGCGGAGGCCCAGGCCCCGATGGGCCCTTGTCCTGCAGAGGGGCTGAGTCGGCCTGCTGGTGATGCTTTTGGGGAGGCGGTCAGAGGAGGTGCAGACGGCATGCCGGCACGTGAACTTGCCCCCTCCTGCACAGTCTATGAGAATGAGGACCAGCTGCTCTGGGACCCCAGCATCCTTCCTGAGGGGGCGGTGGAGGAGTTCCTGTACCGGGCCGCGAAGCGGCGGTGGCGCGAGGTGGCCGAGTCTCAGCTCCCGGAGGGAGAGGCGGTGAAAGACAGCGAGCAGGTGGGCGGCCCTGGGGGCGGAGGAGCCGTGGGGCGGGGCCAGCGCGACTGTGACGGATTCAAGGGAAACCACTTGTCCTGGGCAATGGTGGCTCCCCTCCCCCAGGCGCTGTACGAGCTGGTGAAATGCAACTTCAATGCCGAGGAGGCCCTGCGGAGGCTGCGCTTCAACGTGAAGGTGATCCGAGGTGAGCGCAGCCCCAGCCCCGGCCCCCCCCTCGCCCCCCACCCCCGCCA